CGATGCTGAGGTGTGCTTTGTAAGGTCGCGGAGGATGGTGAGGGCGTGGTGTTTCGTGGAGGTGAAGAGGTGAGGTTCTCTCAGGGTGTGTTGACGTCGGCGTAGGCGACGGAAAAGGCGTTTGTGTGTGGCAAGGCGGGAGTAGAAGTGCGCCCTGTGCTTGGTGAATTGCCAGCCTTGGGCTTGAGCTTGTGGTGCGAGATGAAAGGCCAGTTGAGAGGCGCCATCCAATTGGTTGTGTTATGTTGCGTTCGTGAATCCACGCCTGGTCGTATGTGTCATGTGAGGAAAGTTGGACGGTGGTGTAGTGGTGGATGTTGTTGTGTGCTTGCCAATAGCGCAGAGAGAGTTCGGCTGAGACCGGGATGTTGTTTTGGAGTTGTTTGAGCTTGGCACGCCGATTGCGCTCGCGGTGGGGGACGCCGATAGCAGTGGAGCCAATGTAGAAGTGGCCGTGTTGATGGTAACAGCGGTGAGGGGGTTGGGTGTTGAACTGGAGCTTGATGTAGACTGAATTGGAGGAAAGGAAGTTGTGGAAATGGTAGGTGTGGGGAAGTATGTGAAGTTGGCGGAAGCGCTTCCGCCACTGCTGTGAGCGGTGAGTATTGGAGGGGTAGGTGTGAGGTGTATGAGGCCAGTGGCAAAGAGGGCGTCGGCACGTTCGATGTATTGTGATCGGTGAATAAGGGTGGAAAGGGCCCTGTGGAGGTGGAAAAGATGTTGCATGTTGGTGAAGTTGGGAGACTGCTGGCCGCCGCCGAGGAGGCAGAGTCAGCAGGCGAGAGCCGCCCCGATACTGACTAAGCTTTGAAGGGATTCCATAGTGGAGCGCTGAACTTTGGCAAGAGGCAAGCCGTAGCGTGTGGCTGCTTCCTTGAGCTGCTCAGTCGTGACCTTGCCGGTCTGTAGGATGCGAGTCCCCTCTTTGGCAGACTCTTGAATCTCGATTTCAAAGGTGGAGACCCAACTCTGGATGGCTGCCGTGGTCCAGGCCTCTGGTACGTCATCTTTGAGTGATGGGTGTGGAGGTTGGAGGACGTCAGGGAGTGAAGGAGGTTGGTGTGTGGGCAGCTTGGTAGGAGGAGCTGAAGCCGGTGCCGCGGTGAGCGACGGCCGGCGTCCTTGCGTGGTGTGAGATGGAGACCGTGGGCTTGGAGTTTGGCCTGGGCCCGTTCCAAATCATCAGCGGTGGCTTTGAGGGCACGTGGGCTTCCAGTTGGTGTGCGCGAAGTGTGATGAGTGGTGCGTGGTATGCTCTGGCCTGAGTGGTCTTGTTCGGGATCTCAGTGCCCTGCGCTGTTTGGAGAGCTTCGGCTATTGCGTCGAGATCTAGCCGTTTGTCGCGGATGTCCTGAAGTAGGTGTGTTGCAAATACAGATTCCGCGATGATGAGCCCACAGTATTTGCCGTGGCTGAGTGTGCGTGCAGTGAAGTCAGCCGTTCCATGGTTTGCGAGAAGCCAAGGGAACACTTCAAAGGTGGGAAGGCCGGCAATGCCAGCACGGCGTGACCACTGCGTGGGTTGTATTGTTTTGTGTAGTTGGTGGCCGTGGAGTGAGCTGGCGTCCCAGAAGGTGTCAGCAGGATTGGTGGGTAGGTGGCTTGGGGGAAGGAATCGTGGGCGGCGGCGTTGGAGGAGTGGGGTGAGTTGGGCTGTGTTGGAAGGCGGTGGCTGCCGGAGTGGTGAGCTGATGGTGCAGGTGGTGGAGGAGGTGGTGGTGGGAAGTCATGGCGCGTGGTAGGAGAAGTGGTGGGCGGAGTCTGTGGTGGTTGGTAGGGGTGGTGTTGGTGTGCTTGCTGCATGCGGATCGAGTGGGTCATGGGACCGTAGGTCTGTGTGTGCGAATATTGTGTATTCGCCTGAGCTGCCTGCGCTTGCTGCTGAACACAGTGTTGCCAGCAAAATTGCTGCCAGTTTGCGTCCATGGTGAGCGACGAGCAGGCAAGCGTATCAAAAGCTGGATAGCGTTGTATAGTTTGAGCACAATCGCTATGAAAGGATGGCGAACCGCTTATGGGCATGAAAAAAGGACAAGGAGAAAATGACTGATCATCTGAAATAGAGCATGGTCCCAGTCAGAAGGCCTTAACTATTCTCTGACAACGCTAAAAAGGGAAAAGGAGGGAGTCGACATGTTGCAGTATGTGTCATGACTGCCCTTGTGAGCTAAAAAACCGAGTGAAATCGAACGGCCGCGGTTTTTTCGTGGTGCGAAGTGAGACGGCTGCTGAGGTCTGGCTGTGGTTTATAGTGACCAGGTGGGAAACGCCAAGGCACATGGTAACAAAACCGGATGCATTGCAAAACCAAGATTGAGGTGGATAAAAGGAATCGAAATGTTAGATGAGTGAAAAAACAACATAAAGAGGTCAGACCAATAGGGTGATGTGCGGAAGTTGGCGGCTGGTAGTGCCAGTACCCCATTGGGGTGGGCCAGGGGTGTTATATATTGTGCCAACCAGCCTGGCGGTGGTGGAGCTGGGGAAGTGGCACCGAATGTGGGCATGGTATTGGGTGGCTGGTTGATGGTGGAAAAGTGGGATCGATGGGGGGTGACTGTGTTGGCAGGAAAGGAGCTGTGGGGCGATGAGTGTGGTGCCGGCGTGGGGGATCCTCTTGTGGACGCGCTTTGTGTGAGAAGCGCGTGCGAGGAGGGGTTTGCGATCGACCACGTGTTGGGGCGCCGCCCACTGGGTTGCGATAATTAGTGGGTAAAGGTGGGGGCGGGCGCTTGGCCAAGAGAGGCCCCGGGATGAGATCGGCGTGCTCGAAGTGGTCGGCATTGGGTTGCTTGTTTGCAGCTGAAGTGATGGAAGGAGAAGGAGCTGGTGGCGTTGTTGTGTTGGTGGTAGGTGGAGTGGATCGAGCAAAAGCTGGGTACAGGGCAATGGCGCGGAGTTCCGTCTGTGCCGTGGTGTTGGCAGTGGCCCGAGGTGGTGTGGTCTGCTGTGCGAAATGCAAGACACGTGGAGGTGTGGTTTGTTGGTCTTGGTGGAGTCGTAGGGGAATGATCGGTGGGGAGGTTTGCTGCTCTTCGTGGAGGCGCAAGATCGGGGATGTTTGTGTGGTGGCGCGCGCAGTGATAGGGGGGGTTGTGGTGTGAGAAGTGGGTATTGAATGTTGTTGGTGAGAGCGACCTGCTGGCCAGGTTGCAGGGCGCTGCCGGGCGGAAAGATGGGGTGAGGGTCGGCAGGTGGCTGCGCGGGATCGATATTGGGATCCCGCGGTGGGCGGCGGCCAATGTGGTCAAGGACATCTAAGGCCCTCCGTATATCTGTGTTTCCGCACCATTCATATGGGTGCGGAATCAAGTGAAATGTTGGTTGAGGTTGGTGGGGTGATGTGGAGGCGGCTCGAGTCGCAGCAGGGGGGAAGCGGCGCTGTGCTTTCTGTGACAGGGAGGGAATGGAAATGTGGTTGAAGTGGAAAAGGTCGTATTGGTTGGTTGTAGGATTCCATTTGATGTGGGTGAATTGTCGGTAGTCGCATACATTTTGGTAAGTGAGGCCGCTGTCCAGCAGGAGGCGGGCAATGTAGGTGTGATGAGGTTTGTTGGGTGTGTCGAGTTGTGCAGCATGATAGTCCATCCAAATCTCAAGTTGTTCTTGTGGAGTTTTTTGAGGACCCTGCGGACGGAAGGATGTGTGGGGTACGTGGTTTGTGGATGGCTCGAGGTAGAGCCTTGCTGTAGACAATCTGTGTTGGGTATCAAGGAAATGGCTGGTCTTGAGCGGCTGCGGGATGGTGAGGGACTGCGTGAGTAGGAATAGGAGGTATAGGAAGAGGAGCGGTGACGGCGTGAGGATGCGTGGTGGTGAGTGCTGCGTGGTGTTCGATGTGTAGTGCGGCCTCTCGAACGGCCTCTGCGGTGGTGATGTCGTCGGCGTCTTCGGCCGTGCTGACGGTGACGTTGATGTCGCCTGGGTGCTGGGTGAGATGGTCGAGGGTCTGTGAGATGTGTGGTGTCTGCTGCGTCGGATCGTGTTGATCCTGCTGGAGTTGAGGGCAGTGGCTTGTTTGGAAATGTGAGATCATTGGAGGTGTCGCTGAGGGAGGTTGAGGTGGTGGTGAATATGGGTACGGCCATGGAAATTGCATCTCGACAGGGCCTGGCTCAACTGTCGGCTGAAGCAGTTGCGGAGGATCACACCCAGCACCCAAGTGGGACGACTGAGCGATTCACACTCTGACATTGGCTTTCAGTTAACTCAATTCCCAGGTGAAAGAAAGGCGAGAGAACCGCATGGCGAAAGGTCCAAGAAATTTGTAGGCGTTTTAACAAATAGTTTCTTGCGCATCTGCAGAAATCACAACGGCAGCTCACGAGCGGCTAAAGGCGGCTGAAAGGAAAAGGTTTAGGGGAAGTATCGTGGAACCACCATGAAAGTAAAAAGAGAGATTGGAACAGCGTGGGCAAAAGTTCAAAACTGTCGCAGGTACGTTCGGATGATCAGTCCGAATATCCCACTCTGTGACCTAGCTTCGTTGAACTGGGTCAGTCACAGAGTGCCCAGTTCCCCTGCATATGCACGAAAACAAAAGGGAAAGGAACTCTTAGTAACAGAGGTTGACACACACACACACACACCCGCACGTCAGTCCCACAGGCCGCCCACGTGGCCACCGGCGCTTGAACAAGGGTGGGAGAAAGTGAACATATAGGTACATATCGAGAAATGTTTTGCGGCTGCCTCCAGCATATTATGACCTACTCGCTTGCCGGATGCGACGATGTTTGTAGAGTCAAGTCCCAGAATTGTGCTTCTCATGGCCACACCCTCAGAAGGATGCTCATACACAGGCACAGGCACAGGCACAAACAACAATATTGGAAACCTCCCGCAAAAGCAAATGGATACACACAGCTGGTGCAAGCTCCCACCAACCCAATGATGAAGTAAGTACAAAGCACAGCGAAACCTCGTACAAATATATGCAGAGAAATTGGGTCCGCCTGTTCATCTAAAAGAGCTTTAAACTCAGGACATAAGCCACGGACCGCCTGACAAGCCACCCTTTAATCTTTCTCCGGTGACCTCTGTCCATGTACACAACACGTTGTGAGCGCACAGCGCTTGACGAGCAAATGAAAAAGCTCAAGCAAGCGAAAATGATGTATATGGCATCCGCCTCCAAGGTGAAGTGCTGGTAAATGCCTCGAACAATAAAGAAACATGTTGTGGAACATCTCCTTCATGGCTGATTGAAACTACAACACGGCACATGTCTACCAAGGCTATAGGGCTGCTAAGGCATTAGCTCCACCTCGTCGCATCCAGATTCGGGGCAAGGGTTCGAACGAGTATCGCAGGCGGCGTGGAGAAGAAAACTTAGCAAACGGCATGTCAAGCTGAGCGAATCAAGTAAGACATGAATTGTCAAGCAAGTGATATAACAGTATCTGCAGTCTGCAGAACCTCCACGTTAGCACAAAAAGGAGGCCACTTTCTCTTGGTGTCTGTGGCCGTCCATGGCCTTCAGCTGCATTGTCAAGATTGAGTTGCGGCATACAGTAACTTGATTTATAAAATTGCAATCGGAGTGGATATGGGCCTGTCGCTAGAAGAAGCGCTATCAACAACCCAAGCCTCAAGCGAACACGGTTCACCGGGCATTTATTCTTTGTAGTGAAGTGCCGCCTCGGCATACGCCTTTCCCAAGTCAATTCCTTGGCCACATTCTGTCTTACAGTTACAGGGTCCCAGTCCGGTCCACATCCTGAGTGCCTGGCATTAAAACATTTGAGTTCAACTGCTAAATGACCATTGCGCTGGAATTGAGGGAACTTTGCCGCCCTGAACAGTTCCGCAAACCCCCAGAGGACCTGGTGGTGTAGAAGCTGCTAATAAGCTCACTCCATTACCCAACCAAACCTTCCAGCTGCAGTCGCCCACTAGGTCCGACCACAAATGTGTTCTTCTTTCCGTGATGTCCTGTAAGATGGCTTGAGCACGTCGGAGCCATGTGCGGCACCATCAATATGACCCTTCAAAACAGTCATGCGCAGGAAGAAAACAACTGACTTGGCATTTCAACGAAGGCCACCCTTCAACAGAAGTGAGCCAAGCCACTGAGCACTCAATGTGCCAGCACATGTCTCGCAGTAGCGGCGCTTCTGTGGGCTGTCGATTCCTACTAACTAGCCCCTGCACGCACCTACACCGACAAAAATGATCTCTCTCTCTCTCTCTCTCATCATGCACAAGGATGCTGTGAGGAATCATCCATCAACAGCCTTCCCCTCCACTTTATGTTGCAGAGTAGGGCGGTCGGCTTCTTTGAAGCTCGGAGGCCACCTTTCGTTCTCAGCCAATGGTGCAAAGCCAATGCGAAGCTTTCCTGAGACTATTCGAGAGCAACAAGCCTGTCCCTGTCACATAAACAACTACTTGCTACTTCCAGGAGAGTCAGAAACACAGGTCCGAGCAATGTTCAAGCACAGGCTAGTTACGGCTAGTTAGACTGCGCCAAAAAGTATGCATGAGGCCAAGAATCGCTTGCCAATTCTGATGCTCTGAATGGAGGAATCATCGACAATTCGCTTGGCTTCACCCAAAGAAGACATTTGCAAGAAAACTGATCCGTACCAAAGGCCAGTGGTTCGGTCTGGAATCCAGTGTATGAAGCGGACCTTGGTAGCTCCAATTTCTTTGGGACACTTTGGAGGACAATATGTCTAAGTCCGCTGCTCCATCCCCGAAGCATTCTCTGACCTTACTAGCAAGGGGCCCTCAAGCGCAGCGTACTGAAGAGGAAGAAAGGTTGACGCCACAAAGCAACCCATGGCCAAGCTGCAGTGGCAGCATCAGTGACAAGTGGGAGGTTTCCGACAAATAGTCTATCTGAAGGGTCCCTTCTCAATACCTCAGCAACCAAATAATGAAATGCCGCAATGATCGGCCATGTACGTATATGCAGGCTGAGTGTAAAGCCTTTCTCTTGCGAGCTGCGCTGGCAGGTTGAACTTCTGCCTCAAGATGCGTGTTGGTAAAGCTGCAGGTTCAACGTCTGGTGGTTCAAAAATTCTGCCAACCATAAAAAAATATAGGGTCCCTCGATAAGATGGGATCTCGAAATCAGGGTGGGGATATGCCATCTATCGGGGGACCCACCCTGTGATTGCTGCACGCACGTTCATGAATACTAGATGGCATATGGATCCCATGGTCCGGTTGATAAAGGAAAAGTTAAAGTGCTATTTATATAAATAAATATATATATATACATCATACAGCTCAAAAGGTTTCAAATGCTGTCGCAATAATGCTGTAGCAATTTCATTGTGTTTCACATTATCTCAGTGACTTGGAGTTTGATAATATTCTAAAATGTGGCTGTGCCCCTCTTGCGCTGGCATGCCAAAACACCATGGGCGGCCGCAGCATCGCACCGCAACAAAAAATCAAGATTGATTGATTAATATAGATTAATGTGACAGTTGAGGTATGTACTTCCAGGCCCCGAAGTTGGTGAAATCAGACATTTGTCCTTGAACAAACCTCCCTGCTTGAACCACCACCGCGACTACTCCCTCCCGACGAAAGCAGGGAGCTGCCAGCAGAAAAGTGAGTCAAGACTCAGCAGAGAAGACTTTGCAAAAAAAGTAATATATATATATATATATGTGGTAGGGACCTTTGGGGTTCATTTCGCTCGTGATAGAATGTGTACCCTTGGCGAACCTTCCCAGCTGCTCACATCCTGAAATCGAATAGGATTATGTATAAACTACCTGCTATAATATTTGTGCTCCTTCATTGGTATAAAGATTGATCATATTAACATAGTTAACATTATCAATCATCAATTTGCAAATAGTGTGAAAAATTGATCATAAACATCTTGTTCCTATCCTTTTCCAGAAGATTAATATCTAAAAACATATGTGGCTGTTCAGTGGCTATTTCATAAAGTTTATATAAGACCTGCTTACTTTCTTGGATATTGTTTCTTTTCTTCTAGGTATTGCTGATAGTTCTTTTTGAACCAGTTCTATTTCTTTAAAGTTGCTGACCTTGTAGAAGAATAGGTGTGTGGCATTAACTCTTATCAGTGTGGTCAGTGCATTAAATTTGTGAACAGATGTTATAACACTAATACCATTGTGTCTACCTCTTACATAAGGGAATCAAATATGTTTGAATATCTTGCTATTTTGGGATCATCTGCTATATCATCCAAGACTATTAGGATTGTTTTTATTTATTTATGTTTTTTTACTGTATTCAGTTATTCTATGTTGTGTTTCAATGACTTTCATTAAATCTTCACTGTGAAAGTCTTCAAACAAAACCTGCTCTTTACCAGTGTTCACTTTCATTTCTTCCTTTATGTATTTCTTGATTGGCAACCAGGTGCTATCAACATTTATTGAAGGTGACCAGATATACACCCTTGAAAAACTTCCTTGTAGGTGTCCATATTCATGTTTGTTAGTAGCACTGATTTGCTACTACCAGACGGACCGGTTATGATTGATCTAAAGGGCACTTTAGAGGCAACAGCATATTTTGATTGAGTGAATTCATAATTGATTTCTTTGATAGGTTGAATATGTGGTGCGGTGTCATTATTCATCTATTAATAAAATTACATAGAAAACATTATTAAATATTAGCAGATCTCCTATGGACAGAGTGCGGTAGGTGAGGCTACGCTAATCCGCATAAGTCGGTAATTAGTTTGCTTTTCAACAATGGATTTTTTGCCCTTACAGTTGAATTCGTTTTTAGTGTTCTCCCAAGCACTACATAATTAGATGGTGTTAAAGCATTATCTAATTATAGTTATATATTATGACGCTATCTGAACATGATGCTTATATAACAGGAAGAGATGATATGGAAAAAATGATAGTGCTAAATATCCAGTTGTTAAAGATAATAAACTTAAGCAGTGTTGTAAATACTCACTGGAAATGTCAAAATTGATAATTACTTATCTAAAATGTAATATACATGCCACCAAAAAAGACCAAAAAAAAGATGAATAAAACACAAATCCCCGAAGAGTTTGAACTATCAGATGAAGAACCAAAAACAATAAAACTAGATGAAGAACAAAAACTAACAAGCAAATTCATTACCTTTGACTGTCCTTTATGCCAGGGAAAACTACAACTGAGAATGAAATTGAAATCAACACTAAAGGCAAAAAGTGTAAGTGTAATCCATATAGCTTTAAAATCAGCAAGAGTGACAAGATAAGACAATGAAAGTTTCAAACGATGATGGTGGATCTATTACTTTAGATAATACTGATAAAATTGATGAGCTGATAAAGAAAATGAACAGATATAATAATAGTCTTAAATTGATCTTACAGTTGTTAAAAACCATTGATGAAAAGACTAATGAGAAAAAATGATTTAAGGAAAATGGAGAAGCATCTGAAAAGAAAAGCATAGGTAGACCAGTAGGGGACTTTGAAACTAAAAGGAAGCAGTATTTAGAAATGTTGAATTCAAAAATAATAAAACAACCTAAAGAGACCACCATACAATATTACAAAATTGATTATGATGAAGACACTGAAACATACTCATGATAATATATTTTCTATGACAACATATTATTATGAAATTATAATAATTATACAGGTTCACACTTTGATGGCACACAGGAATCGAGACAATACATGGCATATATGCACTTTTTGATGAAACACATCGAGGATCTGAAAGGGCCATGTGTGCCATCATAGTGGTCAGTTGATGCTTGGGGGGATCGGCATTATAATCTACTAGAGCCGTTTGGCTGGTATGCCATCCTATTGTTTGTTGCAGGCCTTAAGGGTGTTGTACTCTGTTTGCTGGTCTCTCTCTCTCTCCCTCTCTCTCTCTCTCTCTCTCTCTCTCTGTCGACGCTTTCCAGTTCTCCCACACCAGAAACTCTGTTTCCGCAAAGAACCTTTTCCATCCAGCAGCCCAAAGAGTGTCATGCACTGTAGGTGTCCTGTTTGTATAGTTTCTTTCCTTTGCTCCTTCTCTTGAACTTCATTCCATTTGCTGGATTCTAGCATGAGACTAGCTCGCTCTCACTCTCACTCTCTCACTCTCTGTAACTCCCTCTCTCTCTCTCTTTGTGTGTAGTGTGCCATCTTAGCGTTCCTATGTTCAATTCATTTCATTCTTCTTCCCTTCCTCACTCCCTGCCTCTTCTTTCCCTTTTGCTTTGTGCCCTGCTCTCGCAGCGGACCTACCATTGTTGTATATAATGGTCCTCTCCATTCGGTATGCTGTTCCTGCGTTAGTGCATATCATTTCCTCACGTGCCATCTTAACGTTCCTATGTTCAATGCATACCACTCTTTCCTCGCATCCTTTCAACTGCCTTTATCCTTGCCGTTCTATTTAGTATTCTTTTCATGCCCTTTAGCCTGTTTGGACATACCTCAATTACTTGCCAGGGGTTCCAGGACGTCCTTAGTTATGTTAGTTCCTCTCTCTCTCTTTCTCTCTCCCACCGCGGCTACCTGAACAAAGGCTTAACCAAGATCAAATAAGGTAGCCTGTGCAGCAGGCGCCTTATCTCATCTTATATACGTATATATATATATTATATGTGTGTTTTTTTGGGGGTGTCCTTTCCTGTCTGTATAGTTTCTTTCCTTTGTTCCTTCTCTTGGACTTCATTCCATTTGCTGGATTCTAGTATGAGACTAGCTCACTCTCACTCTCACTCTCTCACTCTCTGTAACTCCCTCTCTCTCTCTCTTTGTGTGTGGTGTGCCATCTTAGCGTTCCTATGTTCAATTCATTTCATTCTCCTCCCTTCCTCACTCCCTGCCTCTTCTTTCCCTTTTGCTTTGTGCCCTGCTCTCGCAGCGGACCTACCATTGTTGTATATAATGGTCCTCTCCTCTCAGTATGCTGTTCCTGTGTTAGTGCATGTCATTTCCTCATTCCCTTCCTCCCCCTCCCTCCCTCTCTCCCTGCTTGCCTTCCTCCCTCTCTTTTACTTTTCTTTTGTGAATGCAACCCCAACACTCTCAAAGAACACCGCTCTCACAGCGGCCATGCCATTGCTTCAGTGTATTGGTATGTCATTTGAGTGTTCCTATTGTCAAAGCTCAATTTTGCGCTGAAATCTTTATTCTTTGATGGCATATTTCAACCATTTTACTTGTACCATCATTTCGTGAACCCCTATATTTTCAGGCACAGGTAGTGTTGGAAGAATTGTTAAAGAACTTGGTTATACTATTATATCACTTGATCTTAAAAATGCTAGTATCAATGAGGATATTTTGAAATTTGATTATAGTAAAATTTGACAACGACTTTGGTGTTACTTGGTCATCCCCGCCTTGCACTGAATACATCATAGCAAAACAAACAGGCACTAGAAAAATTGATGAAGCAAATGAAACAGTGAAGAAAGCTATTGACATAATAAACTATTTTAATCCAAATGTTTTCGTTGAAAACCCCCCAGACCGGACTTTTGAAGGAGCAAGAGTTTATGAAAAACTTCGTTTTTTGATGTTGATTATTGTAAAGATGGAATGGCATACAGAAAACGCACCAGACTTTGGACAAATATAAAAACTTGGACACCTAAACCATTATGTAAAAAGAACTGCGTACAAATGGAAGGGAATAGGCATAGGGAAACAGCACAAAGGGCACCTAGCAATAGGAAGGAAACATGGCCTGAAAACTTGAAAACTATACATTGTTTAATCAGAAGGAATTATACATAATCCCAGAAGAGTTGATCAGATAAATATTTATATAATGCTATAAACTAGATATTTACTATTCTATTTTTTCTATGAGAGACCAATGGGGGATGTTCACCTGACCAATACTTAAAGGGATAGTAGCAATAGGTACTAAGGAGATGAACGGTGATAAGTTTGAGAATGTGTATTGTCAGGTGTGTGAGTGCAATGTGAGGAAAAGTGGATGGGGGAAGCATAAGAAAACAAATACGCATATTGAGAATGCTCAGGGTGGAGGTGAGGAAGTGGAGAAGAGAAGGTGTGGACAGTGTGGATGCGACTTGTATTGTGTGCTTAGACAGATGGAAAAGGTGGGTGGGGAGGAATGTTGAGAAGAAGAAGGAGATTGATAGAGTTTGGAGAGAGGAGAATAGGGAGAAGAAAAACTAATATGATCGGGAATATAGTTTGATTGAGATGTGGTGTGAGGTATGTGCGTGCAAGGTGAGAAAATGTAAGTGGAGAAGACATATTGAGAGTAGGAAGCATAGGACGGGTGGGGAGTGGGGATGATGGAAAAGATGGTGTGGGGGGAGATGGGGGAAGGGTGGTCAGGTGAACATCCCCCCTTGGTCTTCCCCTACTAACATATCTGAAAATGGAGAGAATATCGGACTCGCTCAATAGGATTACAGGATCACATCTTCTTCCGTGTTTCAACACCAGTAGAGGCCCCGATCCTTCCAATCATTCATGTGATCCATAGAAACGCATTCAAGTCGCATGTTTAACTGTTGTGTTTGGCCCGAACTCCCCCACAACTGCGTCAGGCAACATCTATTTGATCGAGGGTCTTGTGGAAACTACTGATTTCTGCACTTATACAGTAATAGAGCTATATTGGACATAAAAACTTTTTTCATAAAAATATTTTAAAAAGTACAAAACAATAATACAATTCCATTTGATAAACTGATTTTTGTTTACACTATTTAATTTACAAATGCTTTTTGCAAGGTAAAAAAACTAAATTCAATTCTATTTAATAGAGTGACTCAGTGGCCTCCGGCTACTATTAAAAAAATAAATAAATAAAAACTATCTATTTTTTTTACTTATATAAATTGATCGAATTTACAAATGCCTTTGGTATTTTTATTGCTTAATAGAATTTTATTACAATTCTATTTAGTAGAGTGACTCAGTGGCCTGCGGCTATTTAAAAAGTTTGAAAAACATATTTTTTCTGTACAAAAGCCTTTTGTAAAGTAAACATAGATAATTTGTAAAAAATAGATCAAAATCAATTCATTTCTTTAAATTTACAAATGCCTTTTATAAATAAACAAAAACAATACAATTCCATTAAATAGAGTGACTCAGTGGCATCCGGCTATTTAAAAAATCAAGAAATTTAAAAAATAGATAAAATCAACAAAATAAATCAAAATCGATCTATTTTTTATTTACAAATGCCTTTTGTAAATTAAAAAAGTACAAAAATCAAAATCTATTAATAATTTAATTTACAAAAACCTTTTGTAAATAAAACAACAATTATAGTTAATAGAGTGACTCAGTGGCATCCGGCTATTTAAAAAATTAAATAAATTAAAAAAAAGTAAATTACAGCAAAAAAATAAATCAAAATTGATTTATTTTTTAATTTACAAATGCCTTTTGTAAATTAAAAACAATTAAACAAAAATAGAAAAACAAATTAAAATCTATCAATTTTTTTAATTTACAAAAGCCTTTTGTAAATTAAAAAAATCAAAATCTATTAATAATTTAATTTACAAAAACCTTTTGTAAATAAAAACACAATTATAGTTAATAGAGTGACTCAGTAGCATCCAGCTATTTAAAAAGTTAAATAAATTTTAAAAATTAAATAAATTCAAAAAATAAATCAAAATCGGTTTATGTTTTTAATTTACAAATGCCTTTTGTAAATAAAAAAAATTAAATTCAAAAAATAAATCAAAATCTATCCAATTTTTAATTTACAAACGCCTTTTGTAAATTAAAGAATAATAAATAGAATTAAAAAATAAACCAAAATCTATTTTTTAATTTACAAAAGCCTTTTGTAAATTAAAAAAATTAAATAGATTTAAAAAATAAATACACGTCGATTTAATTTATTTAATTTATTTAATTTATTTAATTTATTTAATTTTTTAAATAGCCAAATCCACAAACAAAAAGAAATCTATTAATTTCTAAATATATCTAATTTGCAATTTAAAAAATTAAAACAAATAAATAATAATAATAAATCAAAATCTATGTATTTTTTTACTTTACATTTTTAATTTACAAAAGCCTTTTGTAAGTTAAAAATAAATACAAAATTCTATTTAATAGAGTGACTCAGTGGCATCCGGCTATTTAAAAAATTAAATAAATTTAAAAAAATAAATTTAAAAAAAATAGATCGAAATCGATTTATTTTTTAATTTACAAATGCCTTTTGTAAATTAAAAAAAATTAAATAAAAGTAAAAAAATAAATCAAAATCTATTCAGTTTTTAATTTACAAAAGCCTTTTGTAAATTTTTAAAAAAATAAAAATAAAAAATAGATCAAAATCTATTTATTTTTTAATTTACAAAAGCCTTTTGTAAATTAAAAAACTAAATAAATTAAAAAAGTATATACACGTCGATTTAATTTATTTAATTTATTTAATTTTTTAAATAGCCAAATCCACAAACAAAAAGAAATCTTTTAACTTTTAAAATTTGAAAAATTGAATAAGTTAAATAAATCTTTTAAAGAAAATAAATAAAACATCAGAATCTATCAATTTTTTAATTTACAAATGCTTTTTGCAATAAATATTTGAATTGAAAATTAAATCATTTGTGTTTGTTTCTTTTTACGAAATGATACCTAAAGGACCCTCGATCATATATATATATACGTACCAAAAGTTGTTCATGGCAGCGCGGCAAGGAAGAAGGAAGGAAGGGAGAGACAGGATGAGACAGGCAAACAAATAGGGACAAAATACCTTAGGGGACGGATAAAACAGTACAAAACAGAGCAGCTAGTCACTTCGGCTTGCATCAAGGAGCTTTGCGCTTCTTCTTCTTCAGCGCGGGCGCTTGAAGACCCCTCAGCTTGAAGCCCTCCTGACACCATTCGAGTCGTCCGGTTCCGTGCAAAAAAAAGTATTGTATAAAGAAAAACAAAAGGCTCGAAGGCTCTAGCACGGAGCCTCGCATAGCGGGCACTTGGGATTTGAAGTCTCAACTTCGGCGCAGTCAGGACAAACAATCACTGGGACTTGGCAATCCTGCCAGAACAAGCACATGGAACTCACTGCACCAAAATGTGGTTGTTCTTGCTCAATACTGCAATCATGTCATGGCCATGGCAGCACCACCTTCTGACAAAACAAGCATGAAACAACATGTCCCTGCCTGCTCAGAGCATTTGAAATGTCCACGGTACAAACCCCAAAACCTTTTGCAAATGCAACACCTGCTTTCAACCTGGAAAGGAATACGACTGACAATAGGCTAGAGGATTGAGGCTACAGCTATTGAACGGTTTGCCGAAAGGAGCAACACATCGCCCACCTCCTTCTCAGTTTCTTCTTTTGGTTTGTTTTCAGGCACCTGCTCCTGTCTCTTGTCGAACAAAAAATTCTTCCCCTGACAAAGCAGCAAGACTGCCTGCTTTGGCTCTTTGAAGCACGAACCCCGCGCCTTCCAAAAGCCACCTTCTGGGAAGGTGCGGACATAGCGCTCAATTCCTCCGCGCAGCATGAACTCCCCTTCTGTCTTGAAGTCGGGGTTGTCATTCCTGGTGGCGATGTGGGGAACATTGGATACCAGCCCAAATGGAACACCCGACCAGCAGCAAAGGGTACAGTAGCTAGACAAGATCGAGGAACTGCCTCAACACACGCCTGTGTCATATGAACGTACCCCAGGATCTACAGTCTGCAAGCAAGAGGCTTGAGCTGGGTCATCAACGCAGAAAACCGTTCACACCGAATGCCTCCTGTGCCTGGCGGGTGTTAAGACACATAGACTCGCCCTAAATACAGTATATAGATATGACTCTGACACACACATACATACATACATACATATATATATATATGTAGTTAGTTATATACAAACCACAAAGTCCAAGTCATACGCACAGGCCGCGCTCTTCCAGAAAAACCCATTAGGCTGTTGAAGGGGATGACCTTCCCTCTTGACAAGCTGATGAAGGAACGTCCTTCAAAACGTATGATATACACGCAGGGAGAAACAGGGAGAGAGAGAGAGAGAACAAAAAGAACAGAAAAAGAGGAGAGAGAGAGAGAGAGATAGAGAGAGAGAGACAGAGAGAGAACAGAAGATAGAGATACAGAGAGAGAGAGAGAAAAAAAAAGAGAAAGAGAAAGAGCAGGAGAAGGAGAAAGAGAAGGAGAAGGAGAAGGAGAAAGAAAAAGAGAAAGAGGAAGAGGAAGAGAAAGAGAAGGAGAAACAGAAAGAGAAGGAGAAGGAGAAGGAGAAGGAGATGTGTGCGTGTGTGTGTGTGTGCGTGTGAAGCCCTTGGAGTCACAGCAAACCTTTCGGCTTTTTTTTCTATACGCAGGGGGCGGCAGCAGAAACGAGAGCCTGCCACCAATGAAGGCACGCTTTCCTGGTGGTACTGGGACTGATCATCCCAGCGTACCGGCGTTGTGCTTGAAAACTTCCCAATTGGTGGCGTTTGCAACTAGAACAAGCTGACCAGCCGTCGCATCCGTTTTGAGCTCTGCCGACACGCATTTGTCGTTTTCCTTGGAGCTCTTGAAGGTGTTCAGACCACCTTACTTACTTTGTCCTGGTATCTTAGGTTTTCACTTAGTCTGGCGTGTGGCAAACTGCAAGTCGGCTGTGAGCCCGAAGAGTGCCTCCGTGGTCTTGCTGAGCAAGGGTTTGTCTATGTCCCTGCGCCCGGGACCAGAGTAGTCCACAGCGGACATAGCCGCCTTATGGCAGAGATCAGTGATAAGTTATATAGGAACTCTCTGATTTTCAGCCAGCGTGACTTGCACGGTGTGGAGGTGGTGCCCCATATT